CGGTTGGATTTAAGAATAAATTTAAATGTACAACGTCAAAGTAGGAGGACGTTTTTGACATTGCTCCTTCTTCTAGAGGCACAGCTTCGTGAACTGGGGACTCCTCTTGATCTACTTTTTATGGTTCATATTTCAAATACTCAGGCCCGTAGGCTGGGGGGACCGAACCCCCCCTAAAAGTTGTACAAGGTCCCATGTTTCTCTCTTTTTATTGTTATATTTCAAAATTCTTTTGTTATGAGCTGTATTTTGTTATTCCAAATGCTAAGTTCACGATTACGCAGGATAATCTCTTAGTATGTTTACACGGAAAAATGCAACTGAATCAGTAAAATGTGGAATAAATAATAATCTTTATTCAAGCAATACAAATATATGACTCATTGATATCTATTAAAAACAATTGCGGGAAAATTATATTTGTTTTGGAATCATCCCACATCAAATAAATTTTGATTCAAAAGATGGAAGAACAAAAGGATGGAGTAAATGACGTCATCTACTCCAACATTTTTTGTCCAAATTATCAAGAATTTGTATCAATATCTTCTTGAAATCTGTTGCTTCATGATTATTAGACCCATTTGGATAGGTCTATTTGATTCCAAGTCATTTCTAATGGTTCGAAATTTTCGTCCAAGTAGCCCTTTAACTAACGTTTTAGATTAAAAATCTTATTTACATAATCATAGATATTTGTATAATTAGAAACAAATAGTTTTATATATACTCATAGTACTAAATAGTTTTATATATAAAAACAATGTTTTAAAAATAAAAAATAAAATTAATTAATTAAAAATAATAATAACTAATTAATAATTAATTRATTGTTTAAAAATAAATAGAGCTAGAGACTTTTGACTTTTGGACGAGTTTGATCGCATATTACGTGGTTAACCGAAAAACGTAGTCGCAATATTCATTGTCTTATACAATATTGAGCACTCAGAACACTAATCTAAACTTGAGTCAAAGGAATACTTACATAATCATATGTTTTACCCGATGCAAAATCTTAGTTAATCATTGACTAATGTAGTAGCTTAGTTCATCATTGGATGATGTAGTAGCTTAGTTCATCATTGGCTGATGTAGTAGCTTAGTTCATCATTGGCTGATGTAGTAGCTTAGTTCATCATTGGCTGATGTAGTAGCTTAGTTCATCATTGGCTGATGTAGTAGCTTAGTTCATCATTGGATGATGTAGTAGCTTAGTTCGTTATTGGCTGATGAAAGAGCTTAGTTCAATATTGTCTGATGTGATAACTTCCAATTTCAAGTTAGCTGATCGATTCTTTATAATATTACATTACGATTAGTTTATTTATTTACATTCTACATCAGTTTCCATTAAACATGCTAAGACAGGACGTTATCTTTATTTTCAAGCTTTTTCTGATCTTTTTAATGCGTAGTGCCATGATGAACGGATTGACAAAGGACTGCAGATTAATTAACGTAAGAATAATGTGTTGAGCAATGTATTTGAATTCTGGAGTGAAGTCTTTTCCATTGACAAGGTGAATKATGTTGAAAATGATGCTTGGAAAGTAGAGTATGACTGAAGTTAGCACCAGAATACCCAATGTTAAACCTCTCTTGAATTCTTGAATCTGAAGCTTTCGCTCGTGGTCTTCCTCTTGTTGTGCCTGCTGAGTTGCAGCTTTGGGTTTAGTGGTCTTCGTTTTGGAATATGCTGTGATAGCTACTTTAACTGTGCAGTACAAGATTAATGCGATATTTCCCAAAGTAAACCTCAGTGGTGGCAACTTTTTCAAGGTTTCGTGTTTATTCAGGAGGATTACAAAAGTTATCATCGATATTGGCAATGTTAACCATATAGCCGCTGCTGTTTGCTTTACCCTCTTTGGTGTAACGTGTACCCGGTGCCAGATAGGCAGTTCTATTGCGAGATACCTCTCAACGCTTACCATCATCAACGTACACATGCTAAATACATTACAAATTCCAATCGCTACCACGTTAAGTGTGAATATACACATTCCACACTCTTTTAGTAAACAAATGAAAAACCAACAGTATAGCGGTTCTACAACTAACCCGACTAGAAGATCACCCACAGCGAGGGCCGCAAGCAAAAGGGTATAAGCCTTGGATCGCAGCTGTTGATCTCCAAAAACTGCACAAATTATCAAGGCGTTGGAAACCGCAGTTAATGGGGCGGCGATTCCGTTGACATAGGCGAGAACAGTCCAAACTGGCAGCACAGAATCGGGCAAATCAGTGATATTGTAGTGCTCGAAGTCTGGTGATATCAAACAAGTCGATGTGGTGTTAGACGCAGCCATGATAATTTCTAGAGATGAACTGAGCCCTGTTTGTAGCGGCAGTTTGCTTTGTGAAAGACAAGCAGGACGCAAGGGATTACTGCATTTATTTCTTTTAAATTTCTTTATTCTTTTTCTTCAAAAGAAATAAATTATACAAGCAAAAGTTTTGGAAAGAGCTGATGGGTTTCTGGGGGAAATTTATCTGTTCTTAAGTCCCAGCAAGCTGTAAGTAACAACTGTTTGCCAGATAGAAATTCAGAAAAAAGAACTTTCCACTCAAGGAATACTTTCTAAGAATTTTTGCCTGAGGAAAATAACAATTTCCTAACTAAAAAAATATTATCCGTTTTTGACCATAAAAAACGTTATATAAGCCTTTTTTGACATTAAAAACGTTTACAAGGAACAAGAAGGAAGGGCGGCACATTTGCTTGTGAGATTGTCAACGATGTAGCTCAAAATCCCTTGCCTAGTAAAAAAAATTCTTACAAGAACAGCTATGTATAAGAACAGAACCCGTTGTCTTCTCCTGAACGTTTAGCTGGTCTCAAGCAATTAGTGAATGTTTCTTTTGCTATCTATACAATGGATCTAAAATGTTATCCCACAGCATTTGGTTATATTAAGTTCTTTAATAACAAAGATTTTAATCCCATATTCTTTGGCTTTAGTCTATGGCATTTTTATTGTATGTTTTTGCACAATTTCTTATGAAATTGTGTCTCACGATGTAAGTAAGTGAAAAAATTGGTATACAGCAATTTCAGAAAACATTGAATACTTCATGCTACCATAGTTATATTGTTCCTTCCAAGACTTCCAAGACCGCAATGCATTGTTGTTATTAAATTCCGCTAAATTATCAATATGATAATTATAAATATAATTACTTTCCATTGAAGTATTTCTTGGCTATATGCGTGCTGATTTTGTCACTTCTGAAACAACGAAAATTCATTGTGAACGCCGATAGAAAAACCAGCAATGCATTGCGGTCATAGAATGCATAGAATCTCCAATATTAAACGTTTCTGAAACAGCTGTATTCTTAAATCCATATGTTAAAACAATACCAAATGAAAAAAATAAATAAATACAACAGCTTAATTTAAATGAACTGAAAAATGCAAGATCAACTATTACGTGTAATCATCCATGATGATGAGGAACATTATCGAGGAATCACTGAGGAACATTTAAAAACAAAATTGTGCTAATCCCTGACCGAGCACAGAGGAACTTCATTGTGAAACTGCCAGTCTAATCCGAACAACCGTACAACCAGAAGAGCCTGTGTTACAGTAAAACAATAAATACCCAATTAACTAATCCTCTCTCCGGATATTCCGGATACTTGGAAAGTTTAATTAAATTCTTAACAACGTATGATTTTAATGTTAAAAGCATACTTCATCAGATTCAAATTGCAGATATTTTACAATATATATAGTCCAAAACAGTTATGATAGGTTCTCGTAGTATATTCTCCGTTGTCTCGAAATCGACAACTTTGATGAAAAGAATAAGTAATACTATTTAAAATAAATGAATGAATAAAAGATGAAAAGAAAAGAGAAAACCAATCGGTAATCGGAAACTGAATTCACAATTGCGATAAAAGGCCGGTGTCATCCATAAAGGACTTGTTTTTAAAAAATTATAAGAACTTGTTTGATTGTAAAAATGTGAAAATTGTGGCCAAGAGTCATAATAAATTGAAAGTATTTTTTTGCCTTTGGCTTAGTTTTATAAAAAAATATAAAGTTTTTACTATAGATATTTTGGTCCGTACACGGACATTCATCAGTAGGTTACAAAGAGTACCGTAACGGTTATAGATATAAAAAATGTCTAGTAAAAACTTTATATTTTTTAAAACTAAGCCACTGGAGACAAAAAATACTACATTTTCTTTATTTTTAATTTATATTTGATTGTATTAAACTGTTTTACTAAGTGTCTTTCGTCTTTTTTTTCATTTTCATTTGTTCAATTATGCGATGTTTCGGACAAAGTCTCTCGTAGATGAAGTAAAGCACACTAACGAGAATTGAACTTATGTATTTCTTTGTGTAGATTTATCGATACTGTAAAGATACAAATTTGTCATGAAATTAAAAATTATGTTRCTCATTAAACCGGCCTCCCTGAATTGCCCAAGTTACGTCACCACAAAACATTCTATTGTTTTAACGCTAAGGATTATGGTCGCAAGAGTGGATCAAAGTGACTGCATATCAAATAAAATGTACATGGATATCATTGATAAATGATGTTCAGCAAAACTCGATAGGCATCTTAAGTTCTTCTTTAGGAAAGAATATCAATAAGTCCAAATTCCGAATCTTTCTGAGCATCTATCCACAATGTAAACACACTGTGACGTCATTACGCCATAGGGCAATTGAACAGTGTTACATCATCCTGTACATACAAAAAGCCGTGACCAAGCACAGAGGAACTTAATAAGACTGCAAGACTATATAATCCGTACATCCGTACATAGAGAAACAGCCTGTGTTGCAGTTATACAATGACTGCCCAATTAACTAATCCTCTCTCCACATATTCCGGATTCTTGGAAAGTTTAATTGAATCCTTAACCTACGCCTATAATTATTCTAATGTTAAAAAGTATACTTACTCAGCTTCCAAAATGCAGATATATAATATGTGTTGCTTAAAAAATTTGTTATAGTTTCTCGTAGTATAATAATATCCTAAGTTTAAAATTACAATCTTATGTTGTTTTTAGTTGTTTCCATGCACATCTGAGCTAGAAAATTCTATTTTACATTAATATATGACAATTGAAAYTAAGCATTTTGCAAAAAGCTGACTTCCCCACTAAAACGAGCGCCATAAAATTGATAAATTTGCCAAGTTTGAGACTTCCGTGGAAAATTTGATGCGGTCCCAAGTTTCGATTGTAATAAATAGCGCTTCGCGCGTATTTTTAAACTCCAACTACGTCGCAAATTTCGATTCAATTGCACTCAAACTTTCACAGAAGTCACATTGATTATCGATTATTCTTGATGAGAAATTAATTTGCCAAAAAGCGAAGCCATTTTGATAAACGATGCAAAATAAAAACAACTTTATTTTTTTCAAAATTTATTTTCTCGAAACTCATCGCAGAGATTATAATAAAATTTTCACAATCATTTTTTAATAACATAATTGATATACTAACGAAGTTTTAATAAAATCTTAACCTAAATTTTCGAGTTGTTCGAATGTACATTATTTTGCTCAAACAACTCGAAATTTTAAGTTAAGATTTTTTTGAAACTTCGTCAGTATATCAATTATATTATTAAGAAATGATTCTGAAATTTTTATTACAATCTCTTCGATGAGTTTCGAGAAAATTAACTTTGAAGAAAAATGAAGGTGTTTTATTTTGCATCGTTTATCCAAATGGCTTCGTTTTTCGGCAAATTCATTTATCAACAAGAATTATCGATAATCACTGTGACTTCTGTGAAGCGCTATTTATTACGATCGAGACACCTTAATATTGTTTACAAAGAAGTGTAATGATCAGCGTTAAGTCTGCACTCAGGATTATATTTTTATCATTAATCGGGCTAGTCGTAGGCGGCCCGACTTTAATTTTTACTTTTACATTTTTGTCCATCTAATCTATAACGTGTTTTATGTTGCGTTTGGATCACCGGAAATTAAAAATTCAGGGTTTGTCAAATGATCAATGTTCACTTGTTCTGTACACGCGCATGAAAGTTATACACGACTCTCTCTACCGCGAGTCCTGGAGCGGGKCAAAAGGAGACCATTCTGGACTAAGTATCTGTCAGGCCTTGCTTTATGGGATAAGTCCATTGCCATTGTCAATACGTCATATATAGCTGCTGTCATATATACCTCAAACATACGGTACATTATAATCCAATCAAATCTTCAACCCAAACCAGCACGAATCAACTATAATCAAGGGAGGAGATTGTCTAACATTAACCTTTACAATTCTGTCACTCAATGCAGAACTAACAGAATGGAAAATTGTTTTTAGATTCAATTTTTATATTCCAGTATTTCTGCTAATTGAGAACCACGTAGGAAGAATCATGAAGAACTGCTCTACTAATGAGAATTTAAAAAAATGCATAGAGTAGTAAAACTCACATCCAATCACACATTTTCAAATACCCTAGCACATTTATAAATTTATTRGCTTAAATTTATTAGTCTCAGGTTTGACCAATGCAACTGATTGCAACTATTGCAATAAACAGCCAACAGTGGTTCTATTTTACTGTGTATGCTTATTTAATGCTGGATGACAAGAGTGCTTTGTAAAGTGATTCGCGCATGATTGGTTTGCCACATTTATCTCAAAACTTATTTTTACGGCAATTTCTACGGTAACTTGCCTCAACAAGAYGTTGAATTGGATGAATTTCCGATATTTATTGTTATTTTGAATTTCCCACCAGTTCGAAAAATGCTCTCTCTTTGAAATCAGGGGACTGGTGCGAATGTGAAGCATTCGTTCGTGTTATAAACGCCTGGATGGCACGGGTGGTCTAGTGGTTAAGCTGCTTGCCTCTCACCGCTGTGAACCGGGTTCGATTCCCGGGCACGGACCATATGTGAGCTTGAGTTTGTTTGATGTGTTGTTCTCTCCCTTGCCACGAGGGTTTTTCTCCGGGTCCTCCGGTTTTCCTCTAGAAAAAGTAGAGGTGGTGGCGTTGACATTCTTTCCAAAAAATCATTAAAGGGCTACTTGGACGAAAATTGCGAAACATTAGAAGAGACTTGGAAATCAAATTGACCTATCCATATGGGTCTAGTAATCATGAAGCAACAGATTTCATGAAAATATTGATACAAATCCTTAATGATTTGGGAAAAAATGTTGGAGTAGATGACGTCATCTACTCCTTCCTTTTGTTCTTCCATCTTTTGAATCAAAATTTCTCTGATGTGGGATAATTCCAAAACATTCTTTTCACGCAATTGTTTTTAATAGATATAAATGAGTCATATRATTG